TATTTGTTTTTTATATACTCAAATAAAAATTAAAAAATACTATCGACAAATATGAATTATAATATATATCAGTAAAATCATTACAGAAGTTAAAAAAAATATTTAAAAAAATAATCTTTTTGATCATATTTGAATAGAAAGTGTATATATGCAAGCAATTAATGCATATAGTAAAAAATTTCTAAATAAAATATACATTAAATGTGAGTTGACTTTTCTTGCTACTATTTTTGGTAAATAGTATGGATTTTAATATAAGTATAGATTTTTTATAAAAGGTTAACAATAGTTTAACCTACTATTTTTTATAAAAGGTTATTTCTTTTATATAATGATAGATAACATAAATAAAAAAATCTAATAATAATAAGGAAAAAGACAATAAAGTAATTAAATAAGCAACGACATCTGATCATATTTATCGAGGAACGAGAGGGCGATCTCGTCTCGTCTCTATCACCGGATAAGATATAAATCTTAGCTCCGTCCCTACCCAGGGCACTAAAAATGAAATTTTGCTGTATGTTTATGATAATTTATAGTTTTGGCTGGTCAAGAATTTATTGCATCAACACGGTATGCTTGTGGAGTTAGCGGTAAGCGAATGGAAAAAGGTCAATAATTTCATTTCCACGTGATCCCCTCTCATAGTGGCATTGTCATTTTAGCTGTTTCCACATAATAAGAATCCCTTTCCCAACACTTTTCCTTGATTTTTTTTCCTCCAACGCAAAATGTAAGTTCATAAAATCGTCCAGAAATTTGGGAATCTGTTTTCCGGCGTCAGTTCTTTTGCTTTCCCTATTATTATTAAAACAATGGGAAATGTTAAGGTTCCGTTACGGAATCATTCTGTCGGAGTTTGTAACCGTTTGATCATCATGTAACCGTCAGAGATATTTGATCTAACGACTACATATCTCGACGGAATGGTTCCGTAACGGGATTGTACCTTCTTCCTAAAACAATTTGGCTCCTAGTTTTGTTTGAAAACATACATGGCCAAGTGATAGAATTATTCCCAATTTCCAGGTGGTATTTTGCCTGCATCATAAATTTCTTACCAGATCAATTGAGCATTATCTATCTATTTTCTTAGTAATAATGAAGTTATTTTTATTCCAAATATTTTGCTAAAAAAAAAATTACCTATCTATTTTATGATAGTCTCACATTTAGACAATTTTAAACCCAACTTGAGCAAAAGAGATTTTGTTTCTTTCAACTATGTTTCGAAATTTTTGCATTGAAATATCACTCGTGAGTTGTTCAACAAAAAACTGTATAGGAAAAATGAGTTTAGTGAATATATATCATTCCATCGTGTCCCCATAATAAAAGTAATGCAAATAATATACACAGGAATTACATACACACACTTTTTTCCTCGAACATTTTTTTCATTGCCAAACGAAGAAGAACGCAAATTTGCAGAACAACAGTAATAAATACAAGCAGACTAAAGAATGTATAAGCTCCCATCACATTCTACCTGTCAAGTTCAATTACAGCCTCCTCCAAAAGCATCTCGAGCAGAACCCCCTCGATTTCTTTCCCCAAAATGTCCCTCTCAAATCTCAAATTCTCAACCCACCCCTTGCCTGCCACCTCATTCCTCACCACCCTCTCCACCACGAGCCCGTTTTCGTCCCCCGAGACGCACTCCCCCGAAAACCAACAGTTCATGCGGGCCCACACCTCGTCCGCCAGCTGTCCTGGGCTCAGCCTGTGGCCCACAAGCTCGACCAGTACCACATTCAAGCAGTCAAAGACGAGCTTCTGCATGGACCTCTTCTGCCTCTGCCTAGCCTCGTTTGTATTGTGTTTCAAGTTGATGTATGTATCTCTCAAGGACGGGTCTAATGGGCTCTCGGGGGAGTGCCAACTGGCGAAGAACGAGCCGTGATGGGCCTCGCTTTCAAGGCCGGTCATGGATAACAATGTTCTGGCGAATGAATACCATTCTTGCCCCTCGTCGTTTGTCGTTGCTTGGGTGGTGGTCAAGGGTTCCTTACGTGGATGTGACGAGGCCGTGTCTAAGCTTGAGTCGTCCCACAATAGGGTACGTGCTATGGAGCAGATAGATGGTGACTTATCGATCAAGTTTGAACTAAGTGGTCTCGATGACAACTCGTATCCTGAAATGGTGGTCAGGGAAAGTATTGATGAAATCAATTTTTTCACAAAGTTATAGAAAAATGAATAATTATAGGATCTCGCCAAATTAGTGAATCTTGACTGGCTTCCACAGTTACAAAACCCCCTCATTAAAATCATATGCATCTATTTAATATCTTGTCCCATTTACGATAGTTAATTGGTCAATGTTTTGTAATTTGCAGCTTCTATAATTATCTGAAAAATAAAATAATCAAATAAATAAGTGCAAATATTAGCAAAAGTAGTGTACCATGTGGGTCGGGCTCGACATAACGAGGGAACACTTTTGATGGGCGTTCATGTAAATCAAAGGGAGGATCTAGGACCGATATCGGGCTTGGCTGGTCCTTATTTTCACCAATGTTTCCAGATGCAGCAGGTTTCGGCACAGAAAATTTAGTCTGCAAAGGCCAAACAGTGATCAAGTCTTCAGCCTTTTGAATTACTAAAATAATTGCTTTAGTGATTGAAAAATAGAGTGGAGATAAACACCATTAAACCTCTTGAAAGTTATTAACAAAAGTAGTTATGCCCTTCGTAAAACTAAAACAAATCTACATGGTCTGCCATTCACTCCTGTCACGTCTCAATTTCTAACACCATTGTTGGTGACAGAGATACTTCAAACTTCATAAATAGTTCGATTATTATCTTTAAAGCAGCTAAAAGCCAAGAACCTTACGAAGTCAAACGAGTGCACTTTATTTGATAAGAAATGCTCAAAATACTGACATCAAAAGATCTAGAAAGAACAGCACAAAAAATGGCTTCCTATGTTAATTGCACATCTTAAACCACCCAACCAAATATGTATCCAGTTAATAAAAGATAATTCAACTACTTAAGGATATTACTGGGATTACCTCAGGTGAAATCACGCACGAGGAAGATGCTTTATTCGATAACTCCAGCAGACCCGGTGAAGACTGTTCAGGGACTTCCTCAAGATGAATTCCACTTCCATCACTGCTAATTTCCTCAAGAAAAGAGGAGCCAGACTCATCTCCTGTTCCAGGTCCAATAGGCTTATCTTTATTGCCCTTTTTACTCCTCGAGAAAAATAAACTAGAAACTTTTCCCTTAAACGACGAGTTTCCACTTCTAGCCTTCGCTCCCTCCTTAGGCACGACTTCAAGTTTCCCCTTGTTCGGAACAACTGGAGCTTCCACATCAAGCCTAGACCCAAACTGAGAAGAAGAAACAGGAACAGATTTAGACCTTGTGAGGTTCCTCGGTGAATTATTACTAACATCTTGAACTTCCCTCCTTCCACTCTCTAAGATATTATTTGAATCCTTTAACTTTTCATTAGAAACACTTCCTCTCAAAGGTGGTACTACTATTTCATTTTTCTCGTGTCTTGACTCACAAAGAGCAAGCATTTCGCCCAGCGTGCTCGAGCTCCTATGTATTTGCCTCTGTTCCTGACAACTCCCATTAGATGCCATCAGGGCCCACCGTTCAGATAGCCGTTTTTTGGCCTCTCTACAGACCGATGACTCGAGAGAATAAGATGCCCTGCTGAAAGAGGAGGACGAGAACGGACTTCTTTGCCTGTTATTCACGTACTCCCATGAATGCCGGGACACAGGTGATGTGGCTTCGGATTCGCTGAGGTCACCACTTCGATACTCAATCTCTGATTCGCCGAACGAACTCTCGACGGCTGAGTTAATGATGGTTTCGTCCCTGTGATGGCTGCCGAGCTTCTTGCGCATTTGATTTGTGATTGCCTTCGCGACCAGTCTTGACTCCCGATTCTCATTGTCCTCCACATCCCCCAGAAAGACTTCACCATGTATTATTGCTGATTGGGACTGTGGGGAGCTTATACCCTTACTGTTATCAAGTATTTTATCGAGGCTTGGTTTGAGAACCACTATTCGGATTGGCTGAGTGGGACTTTCGTGGTTTTTGGGAGGAGAATTTCTAGTATAAGCAAAGATACTTTTTTCCAATTCTCTTTTTCCATCTTTGTCTCCAGCAAAGTAAAAATCGTCTGTATTTTTCGAAGGTCTGAGGAGTGTGATACGCTTAGTCTCGGGAGGAGGAACAGAGTCCAGGCTGTAAAACTGCTGAGCAAACACAGAACTTGGTTCCTGCAGGCACTTGAGAAATAAGTCTCTATTCGAACTCAAAACTTCTAATGCATCCTGGAATTGCTTGGACTGGCGTAATCTTCCATCCATGGACAGGCGTTTGGCTTCTAGAAACTTCTGACGAACAAGAGCCATCTTTTTGTCATTTGCGGTCATAAATCTCTGTGGTTGCTGCTCCCATACCTCGTGAATGTCTTTGTACTCGTTTGGATCTCCATAGTGAGAGAATCTCTGCTGTTGCTCCCACTCGCTCACGGGTATATCCGAATGACTTCGAGAGTGTCCCTTGGACAGGCTTCTCTTTGTAGCCAGTTTGGGTTCGGGCTGAGGAAGGGCATCAAGCCCCATCAATTTGGCAACTAGATTAGGAGGGCTATGTCTAAATTCAACTTCTTTGGACATCTCGTGGTCAATGAGCATCTTCATGGGTGTCCTATTTGATTTTTTATATGAAGAGGTGTTTGTTATCTCAGGTACAATCTGCAAATAAAGAACCAAAAGGAAATGTCTAACCATCAAACAAAATATTCATGCGTGGCCGAACCATCTATCTCTATAAGTGGTTTTAACTTGCAAATATGATAGCTTGGAGGAGATCTTACCACATCATCTACTAGTGGACCTGAAAATGTGCTCAACTTTGATAAGTCCAATCTGCTTCTATTTTTTACATTCTGAGAAGTACTATTCATTTCAACACCTAGATCGAAACACAATTATTCTGCGTTAAATTACACTAACCTCTCTGCAACACTATTAAAAAAATAATGCAATCTAGAGGAAAAGGTTCTTGAAAAAAACACACAGCTGTTTAAACATGAAACTCGGGCATTTGACAAATTTTCAACCGGTACCACCCAAATGAAAAACCGGAAAACTATAAAGAAACAAGAATCCGGCAAACGGTTGACTATAGTTGTAAGAATGCTAAGAGGGTGCAAAGCCAAACCAACATGATGCTTGCAAGCACCAGAAGCGGCGGCGGTAGTTGGGGAAGGAGGAGTCGGATAAATAAATGAACGGTGACTGTTGATTTATTGCTTGAAGACACGAGGAAACCAAAAGCAAATAAAATTAAGTGCAGGAAGAACAACAAAGACAACATTTTTTACAGCATGTCCCCAAGAAACTTCACATCCAACAACTGACAGACAACTCCCCCACAGTCCCAAGAAACTTCACATCGAACAACTGACAACTCCCCCACAGTCCCTCGATGAACTTCACTTTTCTAATGAGCAGTAACAAGGTTTGTGCTAAAGCAATTATGGAGGATTAAGCAGCTACAGTTTTTACTTAACAAATTAAGCTGACAACAACAATTAGTACAGTAAATCAGATGTAATAATTCTCAAGTGTTAGCAGAAAGATTTCGACTTTATAGAGAAATCATGAGGGAGAAAAGCTGCAACCAAAAAGATGGAATCAGATTCGGTTGTTATATCTCTCCATCTTTTACCTTCGGAAACTGAGATCGGAGGACAGCGCAAATAGACAGAACAGCCAAGAGAACACCGTTGATGCGCCGCAAAAATTACACGAGGAACCTCCGACAATGTGAACAGGCAAACAGCCCGTGAGTATTTTCTCTTTCTTTTTTGTCCACACGAAAAAAAAAAATGGTCTTTTAGATGCAAACAGCGACACAGTTCACCATTGAAGCGTCACAAAGAAGGCAGCATAAAATTAAACTGAAATCAGAATTCCCGGTGACTATCGCCGGAGATTCACCGGAATCTCAGTGGAGAGGGCGTATTTTTTTTCTCTCTTACCACTTTCATGCCTCCACCTACTCTTATTAGACGGACTCTCCTAACCCCGCTTTTCTTTGTTGATGATACGGCCCTCCAATATGGCCCGAAACTGGCCCTGTGCAGCCCGTTGATTGAGGACCCGGGAACCGGGCCCGCAGTTTCGTCATGCAGGTTCAGGGTCCCAAATTAATGTGACTATTGGTTTTGATTTAGAGTCGGCCCGAAATTGGCCCAGGAAGCCTGGCAAGTTTATATTTTTTTTTTTTACGAATTTTCATTTTGTTTTAATTCCTCGAGTCAGTCTGGCCGGCCCGAATTGTTGATGACTATTGAAAAGTGAAAACCCGTCATAAGATTAAATGTAGGCTCTTGGAGATCCAACAACCATTTTCTTAATTAAATACAGTTACAGGTCCGAATAGGTCCACTCGGAACCGCCAGTTGGTCTAATTGTTGAGATCCAACGGCCAAGATCAAACTAATTCGCCTAAACCGTAAGGTCGACCAAGATCGGTGTTCGAAAAAAAAAACCTATAAACACCCTCTCCCTCCCCCGCCGAGAAAAAAAAAAATTGATTTTCACAACATAATAAACTATCTCTCACTTCATTCCTCTCAATTCTAATTCTTCAAGTGATATTTTTGAGTTTTTGTACCAATTATCTATAAATCGGTCTTGTTCAATATAATTTTGGTTCCGATTATATAAGTTCATTCATTTCGGTATCACTTCCATAAACTTTCTACATAATACTCCCTTATTTCTAATTTCTCTCAATTTCACCTCTCTTCTTTATTTATACAATATATTTTTCAAGTTAAAATGTTGAGTGCTTGTGATGGTCGTGGAGGTGGCGCCGGTGATCGGTCACAAATGACTAAAAATGTAGGCGCATCTTCAAGTAGACCTCTATTGGCGACGCTGACGCAAAATATATGTTCTACTTGATGACGTTGATCCCCAGATTGTCGAACATGTCTTCCACGCTATTGGTGAAATCCACGAGAGCTTATAGTTCAAGGAGACAAGGAGGACCAGAAGTCAGCGTATGAAGAAGGTTTTGATTTTACTCAAGGTGGAGGAGGTCAACAACCTCAACAGACTCGGACGGCCGCCGACGAGGTCAAGGGTTGAAATACGATATATTCAAACCACAAAGTCATTTCACGAAGGCGCCCGATGACAAAAAAAAGTGACAAATATTTTATATGTACTTTCAACTGTCTGCTCAACGTCAAGAAGAAGTACGCTTTCAAAATGGACAAATGGCATGAAGCGCTACAACGCACATACAAACACATCATCCAACCCAAATGGGGATTCTCACAACCCAAACGCAATTATCGAGGACTAGCACTGCATCCAAGACTAGAACAAGTACGTCTTATATTTGATTTCGGTACTCCCATGAAACTCATAGACGTAATCTAATTGGATTTGTTTCTGCTTCGTTTCTTCCTTTCAGTTTTGGTGACTCTGATTTATATGAAAACTTTGCTCAAATGGATTTAAACTTGATTGCGTCTCGGGTTCCACGTACTATTTTCACTTGCGATATTTGAAATATTGTATGTGAGAAACAATAGTTTTGGCGCAAACTTTTAAGCTTTAAATCGAATAATTTCTATTTGTTATGATATTTGATTCGATCATTGGAAAGACAATTGTTGTATAAGAATTACTTGTCATTTGATAGATGATAGTTTTACATTACAAAAACGTTTAATTGCTTATACTAATTTAATAACACTCACATTGCTTCTAATATCACTTGATTAATTTCACGTGCTTTGAATACTTATAAATTTGGTAAAAAAACTTATTTCCATTTCATTTGATAATGTTAGTGTTAATACTGCTTCTTTATATGAACTTAAAGAAATTTGTCATCCCCATTGTGGTAAAAAAAATTCACATTAGGTGTATAAGTTGTGTTCAAGTGAGTTACCATAAAAGAATCGGTCACGTCCCTTAGGGAGACTGTTGCTCACTTAAATCACCGTCATTAAGAAATGAAAAATAGGGAAATTATAGTAATGATCAAGGTTTACACCTAAAATATTCAACAGGACCTTCATACCCGGTGTAATGAAAACGCTAGAATGGGCTCCAAAGTTAGAGGAATATTTTAGGATCCTCAACGTAAGAATTATGATGTCACTGTTACTCTCAATGATTGGTTGAATTGTCAAACACTTATGGACTTTTTTATGAACATTTCAAACTGGCACTAACATAATTTATAGTGTTTATTATTCTATTGTTCAACTTGTGCTAAGCCAATATGTAGTCGTAATGTGGGGTTTTAGAGATATCCTCGTTAAGGATCTTGGAAAACACGTTGAGATTGTAAGAGTTATGTTAAAAAAAATATTTAAAATATAATGTTTTTCGTTCCCGATGCATTTTAGTTGTATTTTTTTTTTCCTTTTTGTTAGTTGCATGTTTGTTTGATCCGTCACTATGTGAAAAATGGTTTGATCAACCAACTTCACACGTACTATAATATTATGTATTAACTCCCACTTACTATTGGCGTCTCGGTTGTCAGTGAAAGACCTTACCCAAGGATGCTCGTCGGGTAAACAAAAACTTTGTTGTATGAATTGTTTGTTCTTTACAACACAAGTTTGCAGACATAGACCAAGGTTAATTAAAAGGAAAAAAAAACAAAAAATAAAACAAAAAATTTGTGTAAATCAAATCAATCCACTCGCCGACGTCATATACGCTTGCTCGTAAAGTCAAGAAAATGACCACATATTATGATTTTTCATATCATTTGAGAGGCACATACAATCCACGAAAATGACCTTTCCATCACATGAAATCTCCCTTAAGTTTAATTATTGAGCAATAATAACGACAGCAAAGAAGATATTTATGTCCTGGGGTCAATGGAACCTGAATCAAAATATTTTCCAACTTAATGAAATAAATAAAAAAGAAAACTATATCTACATTTGCAATTTTTCAATCTATTGGGTCTGTGAGTAATAAAGTGAGACTGTGATATCCCTATATCCCTATCCCTATCTTTCCTTATATATTAATTCAGAACGCGCTGAGCCTACGTGGCTGCTTCTGATGTTTTGGAATCCTATGTGGCAAAATTACATGTTTCGTTATTAGGTTTGGGTAAATTTTAATTTAATTCCAAACCAAAAATAATTAGGTTCGGATTACCATAAATATGTTGATTATTTATGGTCATGTTAATATCATTTCTTATTATAATTATTGGATTGTATATATATTTTAAAAGTTAATAAATTTTGTATTTTTTATTAGTTTTACATATGTAATATATCAAATTAATCTTCTTTTGATGAATTTCGATTTAACATCCATATTGTATGTATAAAAAATTAATTTATATTTATCTTTATAACAATAATAAATTTTTAATATTAATTAGAAACATAAAATTATTTATCAACTAATATATTTATATTTCAAGTAGCTATATGATATAAGTTATAAAAACTAATATAATATAACACATGTAAGCCATAAGTAACACACATCATTCTAAAATATATAGTAATATATTTTTTTTTGTAAAAAAGTAAACTAAATTTAATATAATTTTCTCATTAATTTTAAAATTTAAGAATAATTTTCAAGCACCCATGTAATACACGGGTGTTGTACTAGTAATGTAAGGATACACAGAGGATACCCATCCCCCTATATATTAATCCAGAACGCGCTGAGCCTACGTGGCTGCTTCTGGTGCTTCGGAATCCTATGTGGCAAAATTACATGCTTCGTTATTAGGCTTGGGTAAATTTTAATTTAATTCCAAACCAAAAATAATTAGGTTTGGATTACCATAAATATGTTAATTATTTATGGTCATATTACATGTATTAATTGCACTTTAATATCATTCTTTATTATAACTATTGAATTGTATATATATTTTAAAAGTTAATAAATTTTGTATCTTTTATCAGTTTTACATATGTAATATATCAAATTAATCTTCTTTTGATGAGTTTTGATTTAACATCCATATTGTATGTATAAAAATAATAATTTATATTTATCTTTATAACAATAATAAAATTGTTTTTAATATTAATTAGAAAAATAAAATTATTTATCAACTAATATATTTATATTTCAAGTAGTTATATGATATAAGTTATAAAAACTAATATAATATAACACATGTAAGTCATAAGTAACACATATCACTCTAAAATATATAGTAATATATTTTTTTTGTAAAAAAGTAAACTAAATTTAATATAGTTTTCTCATTAATTTCAAAATTTAATAATAGTTTTCAAGCACCCATATAATACACGGGTGTTGTACTAGTAATGTAAGGATACGGATACCCATCTACATTAATTTTCTAACAAAACTATAAATTGGATATATTGCTAGCCAATTTTGCTAAGGAACCCCACCAATGTGGGACAATCCCATGTGGAGCTGTCCCATTGGTGGTTGGTTCCATAAGGAAACCAACAGCCCCATGTGGGACAACCCCATGTGTAGCTGTCCCATTGGTAGTTGGTTCCATAAGGAAACCAACCATCTGGTTTTATAGAAAAACTGTATTGCTAGATACAAGTACAACCAATCCAAGAGAAATAAATTCAAATTAAATGCCACCTCATGAAATAAATTTATAAAATGAGTAGTATTTTGTAACCTCCCTTCCAACTCCCATATGTAAAGGGTTTATTATATTTTTAAGAGAAAACAAAAGACCGTCTCTCATGAGATAATACAACACTAGTGCTGGAAGTGAAATGCTTAAGAATGAGATCTACCTAGAGACTTCGTGACAGGCATGACTAATGCACTCAAATAAGAAACTATTATGAAGAAACTGTGTAATCCTCGTAGCCAACAATGCCAGTAACCTTAATCTGTCGACAAGTACAACTTACTCATATACATTTCAGTTCAGTATCTCAGTCATCATCATCATCATCGTCATTACAAAATAAATCTTGGCCTGACCTTTCTCTACTGATGTGATCCAGCAACATCGGATGGTTCACGAGCCTATCAAGAGAGGGTTGAAGATTATAAGATCGAGAATTGCGGTTAAAAGGCAAGCCTCCAGAAAACAGAGCTAAACTTCCCCCAGCATCTGTCTCTAGTCTTGAAAGAGAGCTCAATCTGCTCTCATTTTCTGGAAAC